TATTCCTGTTTTTCGCGAAAATAGGATTGACGGACAGCTTCTTCACTGCGACGAAATCGCCGTCACCACCTAGTTTGTTTCCTTGGACCTTGTAGACAAATGCATTTCCAGTACCAATACTGTCTTGGTTCGCGATGACTGAATATGTAAGCTTAGGATTCCTAAGGTCTACTGCAAGTGTCAATAATAGCCACATGGCTGGTTCCAACTGATGGACGAAGGGTGATGTGGATTACTTACGGCTTATCTCACTTTCACGCTCCAGCACAAACACCACTTTCTCTACCTCTACAGCTGTCGCCATTCTCCCACCCACGGTGTATTGCTTCCTTAGATCGGGGATCTGTTCGAGTAAATCCTTATACATTTTTGGTGTCCACCGGAAGTCCTTCCACCCTCTCCAGCCCTTCTTCTCGTCCCAATGAGTCCACTTATATAATGCACGAGACAGGTAGGGCATGGTATCAGGGTGTGCTAACGAAAGAATGAGGGATGCCCGAGAACGCCCAACACCATCCAGTTCTTTCGTAAGTATTCTCATGGCTTCAATAGGGTCCTTTGTATACCGCCGGAAGGCTCTTCTTGTAACATCTTTGACAACTTTTTCTTCGATGGCTTTAATTCGCGCCTCGGTTTTTTTATGTTCGCTTAGGGGCAAAGGCGACCCGCGCTTCCTAGACGAAGAATCGTATGTTAATTTAGATACGCAAGCGTAGGAGAGGGGGGGGATGTATACTGTATCCATTGATCCATGTATATCAACTCCTGCTTCGTAATGAATGGCGATTTCCCCAGGCCCTTAAGTCTATCCGGTATGGTTTTAAACCGTGCTTTCTCTGCATGTTGATAGACATCGCGGACATAGCCCGAGTACTTGGATAGGCAATAGTTGAATTTTTCGTTATTCAGGTCATCGCGTAGGAATATGTCTGTCGCGCCGTTGCCCTCTTCTTGACCGTTACATTCCTGTGCGTCAGCTTGCGGATTCGGGCTACTCTCTTTATTTTCTTCACCCATCTGACTGGATTGACTATCCTGAGCTCCTTGGTTCGAGTCAGTCTCTTGACATGATTTGGGCAATGTCTCTCTCTTCTCTTCAGAGTTATCAATTGTTATTCGAGTGAATCGCCGACGTATCCACTTGAAGGCCAAATAAATGGGGTTGATCATAATTAGAATTAGGATGTGGACGCCGACGTACTTACGGATATAGTGTATCGGATAGTTTGGGTGGTGCTGTAGCTATAAAAACCATTTCGTCAACTCCGTACCTTTATCGCCTATAGTCTAACTTATATACGGCAAACTCTTAAAATGCGGCTTAAAATGACGCAAACCTCGGGATTCACGACGGGATCTTCGCTCTCATTAGCTTTAGGTATACCAGCCGGATTCGCCGTAGCAATAAATACAAGGGCTATTCCGTATACAAGAAGCAACTAAGTCAGATTGGCAAGCCATAGCCAGAATCTCACAATATTGCGAATACCTATCTGATATCGGCCTTGGCATAGCCTCGCTTCCCCTCTTGACATTACACTAGGTTCTGTTAGCGAAATGCTAGGGCGCTTAATATTTAAGTTAGGTACTTTATCTACCTATTCATCTTGATTTTATTCCAGTATCAACTAAGATAATGCAACTGTCTTTCCTGATCATGATCATACCTCAGTGAGCATTATACCTACTATTCTGATCAAAAATGAAAATCCGCATACAAGCAGGAGGACTATTAGAAACATTACTTCCGTAGTCATGGTATGTCCTGATTTTCTTATTGGCTACTATGTCTATACTACCTCGGTGTTTGTTCATACATGACCCTCACAGAACTCAAATCACAGATCGACAAAAGAAATTTTCAACTATAAGATGTAGCGAGAGAATGTGATAGGCGGTGTAGACGGTGCAGGTAAGCTGCAGCGGTGGTAAGGTCTGCCTACGAAAGTAGGCGTATACTCACCTACTAGGGACGAGAGCCTCGAGCCAGGAGGCTGGAGACGGGACACTCTCCCTTTTCTTCTCTAACTGATTCTGTCCCTTACCTAGATAATTCCGCTCGTGGCATTCTGAAGGCAACTTAATGGCGCTCCGAGGAGTTTTGCTGGGCTTTCGTTTTCAACATTACATAGGTATGTATTTACCTACCTAGGAGATAGGTACTGGGTATAAGAGATAGCCGTATCAACATTATATACGAAAGAGTCCAGTACCAGTAGCGAGCCCCTTAAACCCGACTCGAGGCTCCCAAATCTTAGCCTTATTGAGCTATGTGCATGCCTTAGGCGGGCACAAAAGTTTTGACGTATCAGAAAACTCGTCAACATAGGTACCTCAATGGTGCACCGTAAGCACCGCCAATTTCATGCAGGGTGACTGGGGGGGGGGAGCTTTCGGAGGTCTCCAACTATGTGCACTTTTGAACGTATCCCGATTCGAGCAGCAACCTATTATCGCTCGACATGTAATCTTGCGTCTAAGCCTTCCTAGTCGATCGAGAGTCTCCAAGTAGTCCATAAATTTTCAGCTGAGTGTGGGTGCCCATCAACCGTGCGCCACATACTATTTCCTACTAGACCCAAGGAAATGAGGTGATAATTGTTGGAGTTGAACCATTTTCCCACTTACCACAGATATAACATAGAAGCACACAGTCATGTTTAGCTAAACACATTATTGCTTAAATAATGCTGTGTTCAAGCGCATCTTCTTACAACTGAATATCTTCATTTAAGAGGAATTCTAAGAGTATATATTCTAGAGGCCTCTCTAAGCTCCTTCTCATTATTTCTAGGAACCAGCTGGAGCGACAGCTGCACAGATAACGCATAATCAGCCCCCACGTTGCATTCGCCGTTTGTCATGTCTGCCAGTCAGAAAGCTACAACAGGTAATGATCGAATACGGAAAAGGCTGTTCGTGTTTTGCGACGGTACGTGGAAAGATGGTGTCAACAACCAACGGCCCCTCACAAACGTTGCCACACTTGCCCGATGTCTTCAAGGCATAGCCGATGACGGCTACCTTCAACTAGTTTACTACGATAATGGAGTCGGCAATTCAACTAGCAAGCCTGCTCAAGTCATCGATGGAGTAACTGGAAGGGGTAAATACATCGCAAGGCGTACTGTTTCACTAAGTAACGTTTGACAGGGATATCAACCAAGATTAGGAACGCATACAGTTTTATCTCGCATAACTACAACTTTGACCAGCCGGGTGATGAGATATTCCTCGTCGGCTTTTCCCGCGGGGCCTTTGCGGTTCAGTGCCTCGCCTCATTCATAGGCCAAACTGGGCTGCTCCAGAAGCAGCACTTATATTACCTGCGGGGACTCTTTGCTTTATGGAAGAAACAAAATTTCCAACGCATAGGGTCTGAAAAGAGAACAGTAGAAAGGAGACTACAGTTCTACGTTAACAGATTCCGAGAGGAGGAATTACTTCACCAAGTCAAAATCAAAGCGTGTGCTGTGTGGGACACTGTTAGTGCTCTCGGGCTCCCAACACCGTGGCCAAGACCTCTCTGTTTCGTTGGAAAGGAGATTCCTAGAGTGATAGAGAACGCTTTCCAAGCTTTGGCCCTCGACGAGACAAGATCACAGTTTAAACCATGCACGTGGCAGTCAAAGGAATCCATGGAGACGCATGCCAAACAGTGTTGGTTTTTGGGTTCGCACACAGACGTCGGCGGTAACGGGGACGCGGCTCTCGGCGCGGTGACACTGATATGGATTATCGGACAGCTACAAGCGAACACAAACGTAACTTTCAACATGGAAGAGGTCACCAAGCATCTCAAACATAGATTTCTGGAATGGAACGTTCGTATAAACGAATTCCTAGGCCAGTTCAAAGATACCGCAATCTATTCGGGTCTTTCAAGCTCAGGTAGGCACACTCTCGTAAAACTGAGCTCGGTTCCGGCGAACTCTAACATCTCGTAGGTCAAAGTACAAAGCCATCGTGGTATTGGTGGCTGTCAGGGGTGAGATCCCGGGAAGACTATCTACGGTTCAAGCCCCACGACACGGAACTCAACCTAGTGCACTTCACAGTCCGCTTTGCTATGAGCGAGGGCAGTACTAAATGTAAGATGCTGAAAAGCTGGGAGACCGAAGCCCAAGACGACGGCCCAGTGCAGTGGAAATCCCAAGGAATGACTCTTTCTGAAGCCGAATTGAGCGAAAGCAGGGAGTGTAAAGAGTACGAGATATTCCGGGCGTGGCGTGACGGTATCCCAGAAGAACCAACCGATAGGACTAAATTTGCCACGTTCGTCCAAGGTCTTATCCAGGATCGCCCAGAAGAGCTCCCAGGGGGGAAGCTAAACTCTTTTGTCTCATTGCTTGAAAAGCACTTCAGGTTTACTAACGGTTCTCTTGCGCCGAACACGATGTACCGACCGTAGGCAGTCCCCGTGGATGCTAAGCGTCCCTTTCGCAAAGAGAAAAAAGGGACGAAGATTATAGGAACTTTTAATCGCTTCTAGTTCCTTGCTATTCACCACCAAGGTTCACAGTCTCGGGCCCTGGTTACGATGTGAACTAGGTATGAACTATATTTTTCCCTTTCGATTTTGTCTCCAGTCTTAGGTATTTGAGATGTTGTTTATAGGATACTAAGTCATGAAATTGTCAAGAGATGGTGTTAGGGGTAGTTTTACGCGGTAGCGAGACATTTGTAGTTGAGAAGTATAAACAATCAATCCCTTTTATTTATCTAGGTAGTTACCTAGGTTAGAAAGTTGAGATCACATCATATCAGGCCACTATAGCTTGGCAATGACATATATCTTCTTATATTATTCTACATTTCAACCAGGACACCAACCAGAGCAACTTATAAGACCCTTTTATATCTCTATATCTTCGTGGCTAGTACAGATCCACCTGACTAATCAACACTCCCTATCCCCCCTAAAGATAAAAATAGTAAGCCCTATCTATAGCGCACCCCACAGCGCCAAGTGGGCAGACAAGCACACGAGCAAAACTAAACGCCTCAGGCGGGGGTCGAACCCGCAACCTTGGGATACCTCTACAACCCGGAAACTCCGGATGTTTTTTAAAAGTCCCACGCTCTAGCCAATTGAGCTACCAAGGCCGAAGGCGCTAAAATTCCACAGGCGAAATTTTGGACATTGAGTAACTATGGGATTTCATCACTGTGGATGTGGATTATATACACGGTGAAAACTTGAAAATCCCGAAATTGCTCAGATTTCGGGATTTTGATGGAGGATAGCTGAAAAGGTAAATGCGATTGTATAACTAGGGAAAAAAAGTATGGATGAGTAAAGAGTTTTTTATCGTGGATTCTCTCATAATGTGAATATCCGACGTCGTGATGCGACGTACTCGATCGAGTCGTCAGTTATACGTTGTCGCATGGCATAAAAAGGTAAAGGAGAAACAGAAAGCTAGCTTAAAATCACCACCACTTAATCCATAGTATATTACTCTAGGTATACGTTCCGACATCAGTATAACTAACTCCTCCTATGAGCCCTTGCCTTGCCTTGCCTTGCCTTGCCTAGCTTAGATATTATTCTTGTTTAACCCCGAATTACTCCATCTTATTCCCGTTCCAACCCAACCCAATCCAACCTAATCTAACCCATCCAGTAACACGCCTTGCACCCATTATCATAAGCTAGTAAGTATCATAACAGTTCAGCCATCACGTCGCGCAGAATCTTCGAAAGCATCAGAGTCTCTTCGCCCCCCTCCTAGCCATCATATCGAAGCGATCCGGAAACAATATCCCATTCGCCAGCCTCAACAGCTCGGCTTCGGCTTTATCCGCGCAGTCATTCTTCTCGTCCCAGGGAAGTAAGCCCATGGACCTAAGCCCTTCTTCTCCTCCTGCATCGTTGACGTCCTGGACTCCAGGCCGACCCAAGTACTCGCGCTCACCACGGCGTCCACCGCTCTCGAAGTCGGGTGCTGGGTCACCGAGAAGAAACGCCTTGCGTTGTCGTGCTAGGTACAGTGCGTTGGTCTGTGTCAATGGGCACGCAGGGACGTACAGCACGCTCGAATCTGATACCCCAGCGTGTATGGCGTCGACTGCGTGGACCGCATCCGGATGCCAGAGAACATAATCACCAGGCTCGACGCGTGGGATCGGGACCATTGTCTTGTTTAGTCTGAGATGCGGGTGCAAAGCATCACTTAACTCCTGAATACCGTTTCCCGGCACGGCACCCTGGATAACGCTATTCTGCGCCACGTGTAAATTCCAGTTATCCTCGTGCAAGAAGTTAGGACCTGACTTGAAGCGGGGTGAGAAGAAGGGCCGAAGGAGGAGGTACGCAGTTGTGAGTTGAAGCATCGGACAAGCGAGTAGGGAGCCGCCACCAGGCGGAATCGAAGATAGCGAAAGCCAGCCTTGGAACATTCGAAACATACTACAGGAACCGGCGCCGTTGTATAGATCCGAAGTTACTCGTAGCCGAGCACCAGAATCCCAAGGATCGTATTCTTCCCATCGTCCTTGGAAGATTTTGGCGTAGGCGCCTGCACGTCCGTATCCATCCGACTCCCACCTTTCTACGCTCCCGTTATCAATGTGCGGGCCGGAGGCAAGAGAAGTGTCGCCTGGTCTCCGCATCCGGATGCGGTCTGCGTAGGCCACCGCATGGTTGCCGCTCACGAGGGCTTCTTCGTTATTCGAATGCCATACTCTCATAACGAATCTTTGTACCTCGAGTAGCCGTGAGTCGGCACGAGCACGGACCTGCCCCGGGCTCCAGAATAATTCGTACAGTTGGGGGTCATATTGTGGGATGCCTTTGATGGGTGGGTTGTGTCGGAGATATTCCTGGGTCTCCTCTTTCCATGACACGGCTACATTCGATGGAACGACCCTTCGTACGATGGCAGCTCCCCTCTCCTTCAGCGCATCTCGGAAAACGGCTACTTTGGTTGGATCGTGTATATCTATATAGTCAATTGACGGTATTATATCAGACCCGGCGGCTGCGATACGTTCTGCTTCCTTTCTCAGCCGGCCAAGAAGACGGTAGAATGAATCAGCCACGGCTTTCTCGTTGCCTGCGATAAGTTTCCGCTTTATCTTAGCGAATCGTTCTGGAAGCGGAATAGGATCCAACCCTGGTAGGGATAAGTCGACTGCCATTATTTCTTTATTATATCAAATAGGGTCCTATCCTATGTAAATTCTCAAAGTGTGTAATAGGGTATGTGTAAAGAATTGCTTCTCCTCCATAAATTCAAAGTAAAACTCCTTGCCAACAAGACGAAAACAAAGTGAATAGGCAGAAACTCGAATAGGGGAGCCATCTTCCTAGTAGGTATAAGAAGGACAACGACGACACACTCGTGGGGGTGCATAAGCCCCCGTGGGGGGTACGAGGACTAGCTATCTGTACGTAGTCGGACGGCGAAGTCAAAGAGAGGTTTTGTTTGGTCCGCCTGGATATGGAGCGGCTATACTAGGAAATACTAGGCATTACTAGGCGTTAAGAAGCGAAGACCCATGGGTGTGGTCTAGAAGGTATCGAGGCAACTCAATCAGACGTTGTCACGTTGTCCAACGTCGAAGCGCATTTGATATCCTGGGTGCGTCAATCTTCGGCAACGGACTCCGAAATAGAGATCTCTTGGCTTGGTACCCAGGCCCTGGCACCAATTTGCTAGAGCCGATACGGGTCTAGGGCGGCTTGGCTATTGGCCAGCCTAATGCGGCTCCTGAACGACGCTCCCACGGGCCGTTGGACCGATCATACGCTGAGTAGGCTGACATGTCAACAAGATAGAAAACCCCCAACTATGTCGGATGCGTTATACAGCCTGCCGGGCTCACCGACGTCGTATCATCCATATCGCCGAAGATTAAACGGGAGCTTATGCGATCATGTCAATTAAGATGCAGTTCCCGGCGACCCAGATTACAATGGGGTGTGGTGGTTTGGGAATGGTTGATAATTCTTAGTGGTCCCGTCAGGCATATCGAGTGCATCGAGTGCATCGGGTGCATTTAAGAAGCTTTGCCTCGTTTCGATCGGCGAACTTGTGTTTGACGATCAGTGGCGTCGTTGGAGATATTGCTCTTCCTCTTCGCCGGTTTCCTAGACGAATCCACCTGCGCAGGTTTGACAACGGACGGGGAAGCAGTCTTTGCATCCCCGGACGTAGCATCTGATGCTCCCTCGTTTATCAATACGTAAGCGACTTTTTCAACATCAACAGCATCAACCCCTAGCCGTTTGACTAGTATCTGAGCCGTTGTACTTAACTCTTGGTACTCTTTGGCGTTATACTTGATGGGAGCCTTCTGCCCGTCACGGCACAGCCAATAAAATGCTTCATCTGAGAAGAATATGACGCTATGAGGGTCATGCACGGAGAGCAAAAGGGATGCTGTAGCGGGACCAATTCCTTTCAGCTTGGTGATCGTGCCTAACGCTCTAGACGCATCTAAACTGGTTCGATACTCCTCTACTGCTTCCTGAATAGTACTCTTCACAAATGCATCATCGTTTGAAGACACGAGTTTCATAAGGGTCGGGCGGAATTTGCCATGGCGCCTGAAGCTAAGTTAGAGCCTGGACGGGCTGAGAATAGGATGTGCCGAAAGGCGATATTCTAGCTAAACAGGCGAGGCGGGTAGTGACTAGGTTAGGTAGGTAGGTAGACTAAGGTAGTAGACTTACAGCTTCCAGTCAACCAAGGCTTTAACGTCGTCAAGCGTCATCGACTGCCTTGTATTTTCTAAGCTATACGTGGCGACAGCATCATGATATCGGAATCGATCCAGCTCCAATAGAGTCTTTTGGCCTGCCTTGACTGTGTGCATAGATCAGCCCCGCGAATATCAGATTGGTATGGCATTGTAGGACATTGCATATGGCTGTTTCGGGAACTTACCCCCTTTCGCTGATGATAACGATTCAATCAAAGGTTTGTATCCGCCTAACAGGTGCTGGAATTTCTCAAGCGATATGTTTTCTGGTAGTAAACTCTGGTCTAGCATCTTGATCGTTTGATGAGCTAGCTCACTAAAGGTGCGTGGGATTAATAACTGGTAACGGCCACTGTTTCTTAGAATATTAGTTATAGTTATGCTACTTTTACTCATTCTTGGCCCAGGTTGCAGACAATCATATACCTCATACAAGACACAGCCTTACGTGCTAGTACGTAGGTAGTGTCTCTTGTATGAGAGTTGAATTATTTATTTTTATGACAGTCACAACCTGAATCACATAAGAATGTGTTAGGTAATAAAACCCCTAAAACACTCCCAACTTCCACTCAGGCCTGTAAGATAAAGAAGATAAGTGATAAATAAGTGGACCGTGTGTGTTCGCCCCGAAACGTTCCAGAAGCAATAAATGGCCCCCAAAATAGAACTAGACTTTATTTAGCGCCGAGACCCCTGCTCCTCTGCTTCTCTGCTTCGGCTCTAAGAAAAAAGTAAAATCTATTTCCTTCCAAATCCATTCCGAAACCCCAATTTTTCTCATCTTTCGCAACACCTAACCGCCATCCCGACCGTAATACCACAGTCGCTAGTTTGAGAGGGCCTCTGGATTATTGTTCTATCCGCTTTCCTTTTTCCTATCATCACAATGGGTAACGTAAGTTCTACTATCCCGCGCCTGAACCTGCCTATTCGCAAAGGATTGGAGGGAAGAAGAAAAAAGGAGCCTGAAAGCCGGCCAACTCCGAAAAAAAAAAGGGACAGCAAGATGCTAATTCTCGCAAATAGGGAGCCAAGGCCGCGCAGAAGCGTGAGCGCAATGCGAAGGACACCAAGGTTGCCAAGTCGCAACTGAAGTCGGTATGTCTCAATCTGACGATCCTATTTCAAACGAAGATCATCTCCACTGATTTACATGGGATCTCATAGAACGTCAAGGCTATGGACATCCAGTGCCAGATCTGCAAATCGACTTTCCTGAAGACCACCCGTGCGCCTCAGTATGCAACCCTCCTCAAGATCAACTTGGCAGCGCCCAATTAGAATTCCCTAACTAACACCGGACTTACTTACAGGCTCACCGAGCACGCCACCAATAAGCACAACAAGTCCATCGCCGAATGCTTCCCCGGCTACGAGGCCGCCGCAGCTAAATA